GAAATGGTTTTTGTAATGGAGCTGATTTGCTCTAATAAAATATAAGGATTGCATAATGCAGAAAGAGTGACAGTCTTAATAGCCAAAGACAGCTATAGTCTGTAAAGAATGAATGAACCAAAATGTTTATCTATCACTGCTCATGCCTACTCATTTGTTATTTCATGATCTCTTAGCAAAACTGGAGTCTTACTTGAGTTCTGTTATAATGAAGAGCCACATTAGGAAGAGGAACATGTAGTTCACTGCTATCCTTCTTCAAACTCCTATAGTTAGGGTTTCCCCTTAATGATCCTCTATTCCTCAAGGTGCCCAAGTCCCCTAACCTCTAGTTTACAGGTATGTGTTGGGAACAAATGCTCCAGAACAAAAGATTATTTCCGTGGAAGTAAGGTAATAGCTGGGTAGTGTCAAGGGGAAAATGGCATTTCAAACTATATAATTAATGGAAATTAATTATGACCACCATCAGTAGCATGAAGTCAAATTAATACTTAACTTGCTGAACTTCCTCAAGGAATACCCAGTAATGGTAGATCTTTATTATTATTATTAGTTGTTGTTCAAAACATTACAAAGCTCTTGACATATCTTATTTCATACATTTGATTCAAGCGGATTATGAACTCCCATTTTTACCCCATATACAGAATCACATCGGTTACACATCCTCTTTTTATTTTTAAGAGAGAGAGAGAGAGAGAGAAAGAGAGAGAGAATTTTAATATTTATTTTTTAGTTTTCAGTGGACACAACATCTTTGTATGTGGTGCTGAGGATCTAACCCGTGCCGCACACATGACAGGTGAGCGCGCTACGACTTGAGCCATATCCCCAGCCCACACATCCAGTTTCTTACATATTGCCATACTAGTGTATGTTGTATTCTGCTGCCCTTCCTATCCTCTATTATCCCCCTCCCCTCCCATCTTCTCTCTCTTCCCCATCTACTGTAATTCATTTCTCTCTCTTGTTTTTTTTCCCCTTTCCCCTCACTTCTTTAAAAAAAAAAATTACCAACAGTCCCTATTCTTGCTGGACTCTCCTATTCACACATTTCTTCTCCTTTCTTCAGTTTCTGGCATTTTTTATCTAGTCTCTTAGAATAAGAAACTAGCTCTACAATATATTTTTTAAACCTGTCTATCTTGTATTTGGACAAATTACATTTTTGCCTTAGTTCAATATTTTCTGCTCTCAACTCTAGTTCTACAGAAGAGGCTAGAAGTTTATCCATACAAAACATAGGTATACAAGAGAAAGAATTTCATGAACACAGTTAGCAAAGGACAGAAATATACCAATTATTGTTGAAAATGCCATATTACCTACTGCTAATTCTCACTGGTTAAAAAATTAAAGGCAATATCACTAGTTTTTAAACTTCAGGGAGTCAAGGACTTGGTCTGTTTGGTTCACTTTTATATCCATAAGCATCTATATCAGTTCCTGGCACATAGCTACTCAATTAATGTTAACAAGTGAATAAAAGAATAAATGAACAAATAAGCCATCTATCTAATGGGTTAGATAAGTAAATAAGTAGCTCATCCTTTCTGTGACTTGCTTTCTTAATTCATATATAAACTCCTACATTAGAGATTGAAGCAACAAATTCTTCAAAGTCTAGAATTTAAAGATAGCCTATTCAACAAATGATGCTGGGAAAACTGTAACTCCATATGTAGCAAAATGAAATTAAACCTCTATCTCTCACCCTGCACAAAAATCAACTCAAAGTAGATCAAAGACTTAGGCACTAGAACAGAGACCCTGCACTTAATAGAAGATAAAGTAGGCCAAAATCTTCATTATATCAGCTTAGAACCTGACTTCCTTAACAGGACTCCTAATGTGCAAGAAGTAAAATCAAGAATTAATAAATGGAATGGATTCAAACTAAAAAGCTTCTTCTCAGAAAAGTATACAATTAATAACATGAAGAGAGAAATGGGAGAAATTACAGAATGGGAGAAATTCTTTACCACATGACCTCAGATAGAGCACTAGTCTGTAGGATATATAAAAAAACTCAAGAAACTTGCCACCAAAAAAACAAATAACCCAATCAATAATGGGATAAGGAACTGAACAGACACTTCACAGAAGAAAAAATACAATTGATCAACGAACGCATGAAAAAAATGTTCATCATATGTAGCAATTAAAGAAATGCAAATCAAAACTACTCCAAGACTTCATCTTACTCCAGTCAGAATGGCAGTTATGAAGAGTACAAGCAACAATAAATATTGGAGAGGATGTGGGGAAAAATGTACACTCATATATTGCTGGTGGAATGGCAAATTGGTGCAACCACCAAGGAAAGTAGTATAGAGATTCCCCAGAAAACTTTGAATGGAACCACCATTTCATCCAGCTATCCCACTCCTCAGTTTAAACCCAAAGGACTTAAAATCAGCATACTACAATGATGTAGCCACATAAATCTTTATAGCAGTTCTATTCACAATAGCTAAAGTATGGAAACAATCTAGATGTCCTTCAACAAATGAATGTATAAAGAAAATGTGATACATATACACAATGGAATATTACTTAGCTTAAAGAAGAATGAAATTATAGCATTTGCAGGTAAATGGATGGAGCTGAAGAATATCATGTTAAGTGAAATAATCCAAACCCCAAAAACCAAAGTCCAAATGTTTTTTCTGATAAGTGGATGTTGATCCTTAATGGGGAGGGAGGGGGGCATTGTGAAGTATGAAGGAACTTTGCATTGTGCAGAGGGAAGGGAAGGGGAGGGAGTGTGGGGATAGAAAGATGGTGGAATGAGATGGACATTATTACCCCCCATGTACATGTGTGATTTCACCACCGGTGTTAACTCTGCACCATGTACAACCAGAGGAATGAGAAGTTGTGTTCCATTTGTGTATGTTGTGTCAAAATGCATTCTACTGTCATGTATAACTAATTAGAATAAAAATTAATATTAAGTTAAATAAAAAGTGCAAAACAAACAAAAAAGTATAGAATCTTTTGGGTTCCACATATTTAGTATCCAGAATAGTGTCCAATAAATGTTGGTGGAGATAAAAAGAGAAGGAGTGAAGATAGAGAAGATTAGAAGAAAAAAATAAAAAAGGAAAGAGGGAAAGGCAAAACAACAAGAAAGATGAACAAAATAAGGAGAATTTTGAATATTTGTTTAACAGTTGTATGCAAAAGAAAAAAGAAAATAAACTTGCATGTAGATGTCTGAAGTGTACAGTGAGAACAGAAAGGGAGAATTCATGGTAGGGACGTAAGGAGTTCTTTGTTCGATTAACATGGGTAGTAAATCTTACCCTTAAAAAGTTCATAGAGGTCACAGTAATGTTATCTTGGCAAGTTAGTGCTATATGCTTCCCTTGTACCAAAAAAAGAAAAATGTATAAGTGGAAATTATGAAATTTATTTTCCAAGAATAATTCCAGAATAAATAAAATGTGCATGTCTGGTATTTGAAGTGTAGTCCTTCCTAGAAGTGAGGAAGCTGGACTTAACCACACAATCTCTATGAGACCTATGAAATCTTATAGAAAAGTGCTTTGAAATACTCAGGAAAGATGTCATGGAAACTAAAGTAAATATTCTGGCTAAAATGAGTGGAAAATTGTTTCAACTTCATATTCCACCAGAACTTAAGCCCTTTCAGAAAGTTTACTGGGCAAACCTGCCCTTTTTCCTATAGAAAATCTTGGCTATGCTTTTGCCTACCAATGTTGACTAAATTTTGTTGCAGATTGACACTACATGTGTATAGTCAAAGATTTTAGCCAAAACTAAGTCATGAGCATGTAGCTCACTTGATTGCTGTTACATTTTGGAGATAAATAAACATTTTGCATTGGTTAACAAAAAAAATTAAAAATACTAAATTTTTCCTCTTATTAGGTAAAAGCTTAACATACTTATTTGCTTGTCAGTGATTAAACATTCATATATGATATTTAGTTAAGAATGTTTTAATCCAGATAGAATTCAAATTATTTAAACATGTGGATGATGATGAAACAAAGAATTTTAGTTTGATTTCCAAGTATATCAATACTCCATAATACTTTGCATTTACCATTTTGTGAAACATTCATGTATTGATTCAATATATACTCTGCACTTTTTGTGTATTTTTATGTTTTGTGATGTTTACATTTTATGGGAACAGGAAATTTTAAACTCATTAAATCCCAAGTTTTCAATTCTGTGAACATAACAAATATTCAAATATTATTTCAGTTACCACAAGTGGTATATTTGTTGCTCAATTTAAGTTCTTATAAGAGTTCCACATACAGGTCAATGGGACAAAATGGGTGGAGAATATATCTAATTTAATAAGTTCTATAAAGAAAATTAAAGTTAGAGAAAGATATAAAGAGAGGTGGTGGAAGTACTATTTTAATAAGTACAATAATTGAAGATTGTGTTGAGGTTACATTTGAAGGGACCTTGGGAGTTAGCCAAGTGATTTATTTGGAGAAATTCATAGTTGTCCAAAATAATCAAAAGTAAAGTAGTGTTATTGAATTGGGGGACACTCAGGAGCTCTCCTGGTTGAAGCAGAATCAGCAAAGGAGAGATTGGTAGGAGAGTAAGTCAAAGGGGTAGCCAGAGCTTTCATCCTATGAACAGTGATTCTCAGCAAGGGGAGAGCCATTTGTCAGTCTGTAGAGAGTTTCAGTTGTCACAACTGGCAGGAAGTGCTATTGATGTCTGGTGGGCAGAGGTGAGAGATGCTGCCACACATACTGTTATGCACACAACAGCCTGCTACAATAATTATCCATCCAAAATGTCAACATGCTGAGGCTGAGAAGCCTTGATATAGAAAAATTATTTCCAAGCCTGAATATACAACAAAATTACCTGGAAGGTTTTGAAAATGCTAGGGCCTTATTCAGACATTCTTGTTATTGAATTTTCAACTTAGGTATCAGTAATTTTTCAAACATAGGGGTTTAGAACAACTGATGTTGAACATGATAAGTACTCACCATAGTTACCTTAATGAAGTACCTAATGATTCTCTTTCCTTTTAGGCTGAAATTTCCTTGAGGCCTGGGATATTGATCATCTTGCTCTCAGCAGTGTCTTAGTTTAGCCCAGTAACATATAATTGGAACTAAAAGAGAATGAAAATAGAAATATGAGACGGGATTATTCTATATGGTGATTTCACGAGCCTCATCAGAAACCTTGCAAGTTGACTTCAATCAGAATCATCAATGAAGGAGTTCTTTAGAACTTCTCACCTAGGCAACAAAGTTTCAGCAAGTTGCTATAATTTAAACTTTTTACCCATATTCTTCCAAGACTAAACAATGTCACAACCTTCTATTAGTTCCAAATATTTATACCTATTAAGCATGGTACTGGACATATCCAGTACTCTCTCAAACTAAGAATGTTTTTTCTTTGTGATTCCTTTAGTTAATATGAAGGATTTGAAAATTTGACATTTATTTAATCTGTTGATACTATACACCAAACAATAACTCTGTGGCAGAATTTCAAGGAAGCGTTAAGCAACCATAACAGTGTACAAAAAGTCAAAAGATGCTAAGAATTCATAACATGAAGACAGAAAAAAATCTCCATGGAAAAGCAGCTGGTAATTATTATTTAGCCCTCCTTCTCTGTCTTCAAGTTTTTAGCATTATTTTTTGATTTTCCATACAGTGTAAAATGTGATCATTTGAAAACAGCAATACACAATACCTTGCTTAAAACCTCCAATGACTCCCCATAGATTTAGAATAAATTCCAAATTCCTTAACATGCCCTGCAAAACCTTAGATGATAAGCCCTGCCTACTTCTCCCATCTCATCTCATTCACTCTTCCTCTCACCCAAATTTTTTCAGTCATCCTGGCTATCCTAGGTTTTGTAATCTAGCAACTCATATTCATTCTAGCCTCAGGACCTTTGCTCTGACAGGAATCTTGTCTCCCCACTTTTCCTGTACCCCTGGAAAAGCCATACATGGCTCATAATACCACAAATAGGAGTTGTTATTCACTTAGTATCTTAAATAACATCTTCTCACAGAAGCTTTCCCTGGTAATCTAAACCAACTCCAACCACTGTCTATCCTATCACTCCATTTCAACACCCTGTAACCCTTGACCTGATGATTTTCTTCCTTATTTCCAAAGTTTTTGTCGGTTTTCCCCACTCCATTAGAACATGAACTGTGTGAGAGTTTGAACTTTGTCTGCCTTGTTCGTTGTTGTTCCCTCAGTACCACAAACAATTCCTATCACATGATAGACACTCAACTAAATTTGTTACATGACCAAATCAAAATTGGTCTCTGAATTTGGAACTCTTAATTTGGTCCCCAAAGCTTTTTCCCAAGCAATAAAGAGAAAATCCTATGAAAATGAAATAATATAGCCAAAACACCAGGCCAGAAACACACACACACACACACACACACACACACACACACACACACACACACACAAATCAGGCCAAAGATGGATGTATCCACTGCCATCACATTGTATGTTATAAATTCGTACAATTACTTTGTCAATTTAAAAATACTTTAAAATAAATAAAAAGACAATATGCCAGAGACATACTAATAAGACATACTAAACAATGTCACATGATTTTCCATGAATTTAAACTACAATTGTGTTGAAGTAAAATTGATGGTTGATTTTTTTTCTTTCTTTTTTTTAATTTTTTTTTCTTTTTTTTTGGAGGGTCCACCAATTAGCCTGAAGTTCTCATGAGTGAAAAGGATAGAACTGGAAGACTCATAGCTGCACATGCTCCCACTCTTCCTAGACTGGGCACCAGCAGGAAAAAATCATCAGCTCCTTCAGAAAAAGAAGGGATTATGACTTTTGTTAACAGGAGGAGACCAATACTCCCGGAAGCACAGGAAGAAAAATAAATAAGAGAAGCAAGGTAAAAAGCCATTGCCCATTGCGAGGACAGTGAACACTAGGGGGAGAGGACACACACAGCAGGAAGTGTTAGCTGAGATCAAATATCACTAAGCTCAAAATTATATTTGGAGGCAATCCCAAAGGTTCCAATTATTATTTACCTTTGAATGTACCTCCAATTATAGACATCTCTTCATCCTGAATATATCTTTAGGAAGAAAGAATAGTTCCCAAATTACTATTCAGGGCTTTAAACAAAAAGATTAAAATACTATAAATGTGCAAGATGGAGAAAGTACCATGCCAATTTTTGCATGAAATTTATTTGCAAAATGTAAATGTCAACTTTAAGATCTCAAAATGGAACATAAGATGATACTACTGTATTTAATTCATAATGGTATTCAAAACTGCTACAATGAGACACATTACCAAATTGCAAATGATTTCAGGTTCTGTACATACAGATGGATCTTGCCTAAGGTGTTTAAGTGCTAAGAGTCAATAGGTTAAAACAAATATACTCTACATGACATTAATTCAAGTTAAAAGTTTTAAAACGGCAAGTGTTCTTCCACTAAATGGTAATGTTGTTCCCTAACAAACTGCCAAATCATGCCCTTGTCAGGAGAAATAAGCAGAATAACAAAAGATGTGCCCCCAAGAGCCTGAGAGGCAGAGTGTTGCATATTAACTAAATCACGTCTCTCTAACTGCGCTCTTCTTCCCTCCTGCTAGGCAGCATGTCTGAGCAGCTCTGATCCACACATTTCCTCCACCCACACAGCTCAGCATAGGTACACTGCTACACAGGGAGGACCCAGAGGCCTGCACACATACACAGGAATGAGAGGGTATGTCACCTCTGCTCCTTTGAGGATATCAGAGATGTCTTTTAAACCCTGCAAGATACCACCTGAACTCCTAAAAATAAGAATGAGTGGGGCTAAACAAGAGAACTGTGCTGAGACTCCTTTTCTCAATGTCTTATCAATAATTTAAGAGCACTGTCCTTTCTAGAGTACATTCTTCCATTTCTAACATAGAATTTCTCCATTTTTATTTGGTTTTCTTTAAGATTTAAGATACAAGCAAGCACATTCTTTCCCTAAAGCACCAATATTTCCCCTCTAGAATGTCTGGCACCCTTCCCACCCCAATGGCTTTCTAACCAAACAGATAAAATATATCAGAACTGAAACTTGATCATATCATAGGCATGTTTCCAATGAAAGCTTCAAGGTGTGGACAATTTCTCTAAGGAGGAAAGAAGGCTGTTAATTAACATTTATACTCAGGAAGGAAGACCAGTCAGGAATACTCTGGTTTGCATTTGCAGTAGGGACAAAGGTTTTGTAATGACTCTTTCTTTCCCAATGGTGTCACAAGAGGATGTCTATGACTTGATTTTCTGGTGGCTGAGACCATCATAAGCCAGAAAGTCCCAGAATACCAGGTACAAAAACACTCATGGAATCCGGAGTGATATGAAAGGAGGTGAGGGTGGTGAAAATTCATATAGAGTCAGAGAACTCACACTTAAGTTTTGCTATTAGCCAGTTATCTTCCTTTGCCTCAATTATTTAATATCTATGAACTTATAAAACAACAATAAACATGCCTAGCTTACAAAGGTACCATACTGTTATTTCTTTCACTCAATACTTAGTGTTTCTGTTCGAAGTTCTGTTAATAAAGAAAGGGGTGAAGAGGGAGGAGAAAAGGAGGGGAATCAGAGGGAGAGAAAAAGTAGATGGAGAAAAGAAAGAGAAGAAAGAGAAAGGGATCTTGAACCATAAAGTCATAACCATGGGAATGAGAGCAAAATTGAAAGAATATTGGGTGGCAAGATAATATATCACTAGGACAGGTTCTACCCACTGGAAGAAGATGGACACATTCCCTCATGACACCATAAAATTATCACTGCCACCATGAATACCCTAGAACAGAACTTGCTGAGAAAGGAGGTCAGAGTTAAAGGTGAAAATTCTGGATTGACTGAAATGAAATATGAAGTCGACTATGTTTACTCAGAATTTGCTTAGATTACTTTTTTCTGTAATTAAACAAAATTGACTTGACAGGGAGATTAAGTGCTGTCCCAAGTCAAGATCCCTAGAAGTAGACCCTGAGCCAAGGAGTCCTATTCAAGTGAATTATTAGGAAAGTAATCCTGAGAGAAACCACTAGTGGAAAAAAGAAAGCAGGACAGCAGGAGAAAGAAGACAAGTGAGGTTCCAGGTAAAATTCCAGAGAAGGGTTTTGGCTTACAGGTCAGAGGGGTCCTGGGCTTTGGAGGCCATCTCTCCATTCAGGCAATGACTAAGAGTCACTCTGGATAAATGTCATTGCCTACCACCTCCAGGTCTCTGGAATTCTGGCACAGCAGCTCCAGTAGTCTGAGGGCATCTTCTAAAGAAGATTTGCAGGTATAGACTGAGGGAAGCAAAGCCACACTGAAATAAGGGGACAAGTACACTCACAGAGTGTGTAAAGAGATGAGGAGGGCTTTAGGAGGAATACTGAGCCCAAGAGAGGAGTCACAGAAATGCCAGGTTAAACTTATCACCTCTGAGACTGCTCTGAGGTATTACAGTGGCCACAATTACAATACAGAGGTATTGTGATAAAGGTATGAATGAAGGATTATCAGGGAAACCCCAAGAGAAGTCCCAAGGAGGTAGTGACTAATTCAGTCTGCTATTTCACAGTCTATATGATCACCCTTTGAAGGGCCATTGAACTTTGAGGACTGTCCAGAAAGCTGACTGAGTCTGGGTAAAGGTTTCCTCTGATGGGGTGATACCTAGAATGTCCTGGGGACAAATAAAAAGTAAAAAAGCTATCTGAAAGTTGCAAAAGAGAAGCCAGGTATGGTGGCACACATCTGTAATCCCAGTGACTCAGGAGGCTGAGACAGGAGGATCACGAGTTCAAAGCCAGCCTCAGCAATGGCCAGGTGCTAAGCAACTCAGTGAGACCCTGTCTCAACATAAAATACAAAATAGAGCTGGAGGTGTGGCTCAGTGGTCAAGTGCCCATGAGTTCAATCCTGAGTACCAGAAAAAAAAATTTTGGAAAATAGTCAAGTCACAGAATAGAAATAAATTTTTGGAAAGGAGAGTTGAGGAGTTAGCAATTGCAATGAAAGTGAGAAGGCAAGGAGCCAGAGGAAAATTAGGACTGGAGTTCTTGTCATTCAACACAAAGGTCAGGA